GATCACCGTAACCTGTGACATTGACCCCACTTTCCCATCCAATTCCTTGATTCATTCAGTGTCTAAGAAGCTTTTCTTTTAATTATTCATTATTCAGCAGCCTGGCATCTGCAGTGCTCTGGGGTAGACCACTTCAAGGATTTTCTCCTGTTAACAGTCAGGTAAATATGTAGTCAGCTCTCAGATTGGCTTTTACATTAACTCCAAGGTCTTTCTCTGCCTCCTATAAAGATCTCTCTTCAAGTTTATATGATACATATGGTATCAGAGAAGATTGACCTGAAAACAGCAGCTGTCTAAACTGTAGCCAAGAAAAAGCAAATGTTAATTGAAAATACTGTGTGTCGTGTTGCAAGATGGTAGTATTGATACCTCATAACAAGATGCTTGTAAACCTTATTTTCTGTTGAAATCCAATCCAGAATGTGTGTCTAGGTGAATTCTAGGCGCACCAGCATCTCCTCCAAGTGGCCCTTCCAAGGTTGAATAGCCTGGAAATGCTCATCAGTCAGTGAGCTAAATGAATGTGGAAGCCATGATAGTGGATAACCATGATAGCCTTTGTTACTTGTAGACATGAGTATTCTAGCAAGCTGCTAGCCAACTTGCCATCTCTGAACTTGATATGGTGCCAAATTCTGCTTTACCTGAACTCTGTTGCTGACTTGCATCGTTTCCTTGTTAAGCAATGCATCTTTGTTTAATTTCCATCCTTGTTTTAAAATCCTTCCCATGGCCTTGCCTGCTCCATCTCTTCCAGCCCCACAAATTGCAGCATTGCAACTGGTAGCAAGATAGATTAACCAAGGATTTAGTGAGAAATCTGTGTGAAAACTAACTTGATGTTTGCTTTGAAGTTGGCCAGAGTGATTCAGAACTTGGAACTTGCTTCTGAGTTTGAGGTTGCACATTGGCATATGTCCACTTATCTACCCACAAGTAAGCAGGCCTTGGATCGTGTAGTTTAATAGTTTATTGGTGTCGTTGACAGAAGACTGTTCCCACAGGCATTGTTTTGTGTTTACAAAAATAACTCTGACCTGCTCGCATTTGTTCACACCAACGATCCAGACAAGGAAGGAAATGGCCATTTACATGTCATCCAAACAATGACCTACTTATTCCATGCCAGTAAAAAGGGAGAAGGTGGGAGAAAGAGTCTGGGCCATTAGTCTCTGGATCATTCATTCACCAGTTTAAGCTAGAAGTTTCTCCTGTGGAAAAAGAGCATGTTATCCTGAGATAACACTTGATTGTGCATGGATGAATGAGGTATTGAGGAGCTTGACATGTAGCAATTGGAGCTTTGAAGCCGCCCCTTCACCTCGGGCAGCGTGTCACCACATTTTCTTCAAGGCAGACTTTAGTTTCACAGGATTTGAGGAAAAAGGCTGGTGAATTACCTGAATCCTTCCAGAACCACTACTTCCTCAGCAGCCACATGACTACTTTAGCAAAAATTTGATGGCAGTTGAGAAATGGAGAAAATAAAATTCTCTCTTCTCGTTTTGTGATTTTTTTTTTTTTGTTTTTTGTTTTTTTAAATTATTTTCTTAAACACAGTTCTAGTTTTGATGGCTTGCTTAAGTTTTGCAATGGGTTTTGGCTGCTTTGTAATTTGCCAGCATTTTGAGTTATTGTCTGTAAATGTCTATTGATGTCTTGTCTATTTGTGAAAAATCCAACTTTGTGAAGTGGAAAATGTCCATGTTATGCAAAATCCTGGTCCTTTAAATGAAGTGATCTTGCCAGGCATTTTTCTTTTTGTATTTGCAAAAAGACTTGCACTGCTTATTTTATCAATAATGTGGAGGTGCTGGTGTTGGACTGGGGTGGACTAGGTCAAATCACAACACCAGGTTATAGTCCAACAGGTTTATTTGAAATCACAAGCTTTTGGAGGATGAAGAAGCAGTGCTCTGAAAGCTTGCGACTTCACCTAAACCTGTTGGACTATAATCTATTTTATCAACATTCTGAAGAATCTTTTTTGTCAATCCTCCAGTCGTAAATAGGCAGCTTTTGTCTTGGACTGCAGATGACTGGTATGGACTTCAACTGAGTCTCAGGGCTGATCAGCCTTGGGACCTAGGTGATGGGTTAACTGTGCTGATGTCCTATCCTATAATGTGTTTTCCAACACTGAGTCTGTCCAGAGCAGCACTGGACATGATACAGTTGACCGACAGATACAGTTGTGGAAATTAAACAAAGATGCATTGCCTAACAAGGAGACGATGCAAGTCGGCAACAGAGTTCAGGTAAAGCAGAATTTGGCACCATATCAAGTTCAGAGATGGCAAGTTGGCTAGCAGCTTGCTAGAATACTCATGTCTACAAGTAACAAAGGCTATCATGGTTATCCACTATCATGGCTTCCACATTCACATGCCTTTCCTCCCTGGTTATGCTAATCCTCTCAAACACATGCTTGCAAAGGCTGGAATAGTAACCCCTAGTTCAAATACTGCGGGAAATCTGTAGAGATAATGAAACAGAGTTGACGTTTTGGGTAGATGACCTTCTGTCAGAACTGGGGAAAGTTGGGTGTGAAACAGCAAATATAGTGGCTTGAGGGAGGAGGGAGACAACAGAAGGGAAGGTTGGTGATTGGATGGAAGACAGGAGCGGCAATGACGACAAGGTTGGGAGGTTCAGTGTATTTATAGTTTCTGAGAGCAATGTGTCCTGGACCCATTACCAGAGGATGGGCTATCCTGGATCTGGTAATGGGTAAGAGGCAGGTTTAATAAATGACCTCAGAGTAAAAGTGTTTAACTTAAGTAAAGGGAATTACAATGAAATGAGGGTAGAGTTAGCTAAAGTAGACTGGGCAGATAGATTAACAGGAATGACAGTAAGCAAGCAGTAGCAGACATTTTAAGAAGGTAATTCCTGACTCTCAGCAAAAACACATCCTAGTAAGCAGGAAAGATTCTGAGAGCAATAAACTAACCATGGCCAACCAGAAAGAAGGAAAACGAGTAAAAAGTTGGGGAGGGGAAAAAAGCCTACAAGGAGGCAAAAGATAATAAGGACAGAAAATAAACCAAGAGGGCGGGCTAGCAAGGA